ACAACAACAAACAGGGCCCCACGTAAATAGTCTCAGTGATGTCCTTTTATATAACCAGAATTTGAACGGCGGCAATCGTAAAGAGTAAAATAGACAAAGAATTTACAAAGAACAACTCTCAATGCACAAGGTACAAAATATTTTGCTTAAAAATGTCATGGACAAAAATAAATTGAGCCTTTATAATATACACAGATGTGGGAAAAGTGGCAAAACTAAGGCTCCCCTTGGGTATCCCTCCAGCCGATAGCCAGAAGACTAATTTTTCTTGTATTACAATGCTTAAGGGCAAGGTGTTGAACCACAACGCCAACCATATGGTTTAATATTATTATTATTATTATTATTATTATTATTATTATTATTATTATTATTATTATTATTATTACTACTACTACGTATACCCTTTAGGCCATTTACATGTTAATCTAAACAGCTAATTTTTTTCAAATATCTTTTTATCAACCACTGATATAATTCGCTAGTCAAACCCGTTAAAATAATCCGATATTTGCTAACTGCTAACACAATCCGCTAACGCTAACCGCTAACCGCTGATTCTCAAACAAGCACATTGCAATGTAGTTTTCCACTTCAATGTTGTTGTGTGATTTGAATACTCTTTTTGTCAACAAATTCCCCAAGTACTTAATATGATTGGCTTAATTTTTTTTTTTTCATGGTATTAATAAAATAATTGGTAAGTAAATATATAGCATTATTTTGTATTATTACTTTGACATTTAATTAAAAAATAGTGTACAAAAAAAGATAATGGACAATGTAGTGAATATAATCAATTGATGAATTTGATTGGAGAAAAATAAAGACAATATAACTAATGAAATTATTTCTCCTAATTTAATTAATTTATTGATTATGATTTTTTTTTTTAATAAAGACATTGTAGGGATAACGTAGCGAATATAACCAATTATGAATTTGAATGTAAAGAATTTTTACATTGGAGTAAAAATGACATTTGCGAGATTTAATTAAATGATTTATAACATTTAAGTAATTTTATGCTACAAGGACTCAATAGTTTCAGCATAATCTTTTAACATCTAACATATGTGTCAAATGTGTGGGCTTGGGCCGGTTTAATCCGCCTTGACATTGGCGCGCTTATTTTTTGGACCAAGCTAGCCTTGCCCAATTAAAGTTAAAATCGAGCTAGACTTAGTTAGAAAATAAAAGTTAAAGTCTGACTCAACCCATAGCCCTAAAAATAAAAAAAATAAAAAAAAATATTAAAAAATTATATATAGACTATTTTAAGTTAAGTTTTCTTTCTAAATTAGCTTTACAAGTTTATATATTTATTTTCAACTATTTAACTTAAGAATTATTACAAGAAAATGAAGAAATCGAATATTTAATAATATAATATCATTAATAAGAATATGTTTACAAATTGCAACTACAAACTTCTAAGTACTTCTTCCAATTTGAAACAAAACAAATGTTATAACTTTAAAATATTTTAAGGTAGTAAGTATTAATTAGTATGCTAGATAGTCAATCCTCACATTTTTACAGGATTACCATGTTCTCATTTGATCTTTCTCATGTGTGTGTGTGCGTGTGTTTGTTTGTATAGTCTTTTGAAAAAATGTACGTGTCAACGGTGTCCATGAGCCAATGTACGTTTAAAGTCCAACCTTAACCGTAATATAAAATAGGCTAGCCCTAGTCAGTCCGTTGTAGCAATCAGACTAGGCCATTATTATTATTTTTAATGTGCGGTAAGTCGGTTAATGCATGGTAACCAATGAATTAAAAAAGATTTATTTATACGCTATATGGTAACAAATTTGTGTCCCTATAACTTTATCGTAATTTTATTTGGTCAATTCGCTAATATTAAATGAACTTGTTATCACCCACGCATTACGCGAATAGTCCAATGCCCAATGTGCATTTTTAAATTAGTGTTTTAGAATTTATCAAATTATCATTCGGTATCCAGCGCGCATATCAAATTTTTCATAGAAGTAAATATTTCAAGAATGCATAACTATGACATATGACATAATTTTTCATACAATTAACGGGTGCAATATCAATTTTAGAGGAAAACACCCCACTGAATAGTACCCAAGTATAACTTTGGCAGCACAAAACCCTATTAATTGGCGTGATTCATGCTTCCTCTTTTTGCTAGTTCAGCCATAAATGAATTCTTGATTTAATCTAGTCTCATGGTCTGCTTCACTGGAATTTTAGTGTCTTGACGCAGTGCACCTTCAAAACAGAACAAAATTCTCCTTCCCCAAAAAGACAATGATAATAGGCATAATTGCTCATATGTGTTGAATATATAATGTAAATTAAGTGTATCATTTAATCAATGCTCACTGCGTGATTCTAATTAATTGAGCAAAATTAATGTTAAATTTTATATTATATATATTTTTAATAATTATGTCAATTTTGATTGAGATAAGGTTTGAACCTAAGACCTTCCTTATAAAAATCAATGAGTAAGTTAAAAATAATTTATAGTTAACGGAATATTTCGTTACGAAAGTGTACACTTACGCAGGAGTATTTAAGAAAAGTAAATGATATAATAGGGGGTAAAGTAGGAAAAATAATAAAAATACTAAAATCGAAATAATATGAATCATTCATTTTAACAAACAATTACATGAACATTTTTTACTTCTCATTAGAGGTCTAACTTTATGTGCTCTTATTAGGTTTGTATGTATGTAGATGCAGATATCTAAATTTGTAATTTTGCAATAATTGTTTGGAGATATTTTTCCTAATGTATGTAGATGTAGATACCTAAATTTGTAAATTTGTAATAATTGTTTGGAGATATTTTTCCTAATTTGGAATAATCTCCACCTAGATTATAACGTGGAAAGTAGCCTTTTAAGGAAATGTAATTATATGAAAATGCATTTTGCAACATCAAATAACAAAAACACACCTATAAAAAGGGACAATCCTTAAAAGGAATTATTTGTGATCGTACTGTAGAGTTGAGTTTATTTATAGGATAACAAGATGGATTTTGGTAGAGTTTGCTTTTTCATGCTTCTTGCTGTCATTGGTCTCTCTATTGCGTCTAACATAGGTATCAATATGTTCTCTCATCTCTTAAAATTTTCAATAAAAATACCTTTATTTTTCAACCATCCGGTTTTTGACTTGATATTGGATCATATGTTTTTGTTTTTGGTTTCATGATCTGATCTATGCGGCGATATAGTAGTGGCTGATGACTTTTGCATTGCTACGTGCGGAGGGTCTATTGCAACGAACGATTGCATAGCAATGTGCGTCACTAAGCATTACAACGGCGGTTTATGCGAAACACAGCAAGATGGGGAGGTCCTTTGCTGCTGCAAGCAATGATGACTCATCATTAATTTGTTACTTTATTCACATTTCCATCCATTTTAATCTTTTAAAACTATTTTAGAATGAATCTCCTATCATGGCTTCTAATATACTAAATTATAAATAATCATTTTGGCTCACTAAACCCTCTTCTCCCAAAAGGTTGAATCCCCAACCTCAACGACACCCACATCCCGACCCAACGTAGCATTTGAAAGTATGTAAATCACCGTGACTCAATGGCTCAGCTATGATTAAAAGTCAAAACCTTAATCAACAATCAAAATCTCACATAATATTAATTAATGGGCAAATTTGTCCAAAAAAAATTCTAAACTTCTGTCAAAATATAGGTAAGTTAACATCAAAATAAACCTATTTTTCTGCCTAATAAAATAAGCTCATCTGTGTATATCTTCTTTTTCTCTTCTTTAATTTATTTCTTTCCATATAAGCACACAGTTATGCATATTTTTCTATGTAACAAAGACGAACGTGTGTTATGTCTAACGGATGTGTGCATATATATATATATATATATATATATATTAACACCCCCAATTTTCATGCATCTGAGCCTAGTAATAAACATAACTAGAAACGCGGAATAAAAAGCATGGGTAACATAAGTACTAATTACCCAACCATAACACAAAAAGAGAATACTACTCCGTAGCCACCCTCAATAGAGTAACTACACGGAGAAACTAACTAGTCATTACATTAACATTAATTCATAGGGGCCCACATCTCAAAACATACAGAGTCTAGCAACTAGGCTCTCAGGCCTATGTGTCAAGCACTACAAAATATAGAAGGTAGAGTAACCAAACTACACAAGTCCAACATCAAGACAAAGTGAGGAAGATTGACCAAACTAGGAACTAAATCAAAACTCTATACTATCTAGTTCCATCTAATGCGCTCAGCAATCATCGGTTAAAACTTGAAAAGGGTTAAATAAAAAGCATACAAAAGATAACATATTAGCATGAATGCTAAGTATAAACCACTCTATCCTGTAAAGTACATATATATATATATATATATATATATATATATAGGTATAGATTTTGAAAAATGGATAGTTTTGCACTTATAACACGTTAAACCAATCAAGATCATAGATGTAAGTCAAATAGGTTCACAAGTATAAAGATATACTTATACAACAATAGTACTTAACTTATAAGCATATAGCTCGCATGCACGTGAAATCCATATTCAATGTACTTATGCAATTCATACTCAAGAATATATATACTCAATACCTATTAACAAGACATGAATTTAGTTGACTCAATAATTCAAGAATAGAATAAGTGACATGTAATCATGCGAACTACCAAATTATAAAAGAAGATAATTCCGAGAGTTTTCCACCAGGTCTCATCACAACATAATTTCGGGAGTGTTCCACCGGGTCTCTTCGTTCTTTACCTAAAAGATTTCGAATAAAGGTCATTGCTCACTACAAAAAACTGTTTTTTTAGCGACATAACCGCCTCTAAATAAATATTTCGCGACAATTATAACAACCGCCTCTAAATTTTGTACTAAAATTTTATAAATTATCGGTTGGTAATAATCTACAACAAGCATTGATCGAGTTTAAAAAGTAAAGTAGGGAAACTCTAAAATCTCTCGCTGCCTCTTTGGACTCCTGGAGAGTGGAGACGCCATTGCCGCTCACGAGGAGGAACATCAACGCCGACGCAGCAGATCAACCGCCAGTCCGCCACCTCCCGCTGCTGCCGATGACTTAGAAGGTCAGACGCCACCTCTCGCTCCCTCTCCCTGCCGCCGTTGCTGACGCAGCAGATCAACCGCCAGTCCGCCACCTCCCGCTACCGCCGAAGACATACTTACTGGGAACTCAAGGTAAGTTGTTTCAAAAACTTAAATTTACTGCTAGATTTTCTTATATTTACTGATTATATGTAATAATTTGCCGTCTATGTTTCATCTTGGCCTGGCCATATGAGTATGTATTTCTTTTCTACTGAATTACTGAAATAACCTAAAATAGCAATTAGTAATTGCATGATTCATCAACTAATGATGGATGAGAGATGGATTTAGATTCAAGTTTTGCAAAATAGCTTTATTTATGAAGAAAGGTTTTTGAACTATATCAAGAAAACCACCAGTTCCAAAGGTTTTCGTTTCAAGTTCTGCCAAAAGTTCTTATTTCACTTTCTTCATAGAACATGGGATTCTGCTTAAAGGTTTAGACATAGAGGGTGCACTCATTTGCTATACAAGAAGCATATTTTCATATACTCTTATCTAAAGCCTTATGCAGGACGCAAAGTAGTTCCAAAGTGTTGGAATGTTTATTCTGTAACTTGAAAGTGTAATTGAACTTATAGGTTTTAGATAGTATCATTTTTCTATCTAATATGTGAAATTACTGCAATCACTTTACTCTGGCTCTTTAGCATGCATTCATCCATATTGGGAGGTTAACAAACTTGATCTGTGAACTTCTGTTTTCATAGAACATACAATTTTACTTGATCAAATAAATGTTCTTGAGATGATTATTGTCTAACATTCCACTGTAGAATGAGGCAATAAAGATGTGGCTTATTTATCAAATTAAAGCTTGCCAGATTGAAATTCCTTTCTCTTGATACTCGCTACAAGTCTTGTTTCTTTGACTTGAATCCTATACAATAATTTTGCTAGCATAATTTACTGAATGTTTTCTGTAGGAATTCAACAACGTGGTGGATAGGATCATAGGAGAATAGAAGATCTCTTAACAATTATGGAGCAATGTTTACATGATTATGTTTAGGAGCTAATAGTTGTGGTGCTAATCTGGTTGCTGTAAGTTATAATTGCTTTTGAAAGCTTACCTTTGCTTGTCAAGTTGCTAACTTGTATTGATAAGGTTATTAAATTCAAATACAGAAATGGACTGTTGATTTGAATCAGTATGCATGTGAAAGCTTGAGGTTAAGCCATCCAGAGACAAATGTAACATTATCCTCTCTAATTCCTTTTCTTTTCTATGTTGTATTTAGTCATTTTGCCTTTCTGCTGATCTTTCTTGTTTTATATGCATTTTGTAGGAGATAAAGCCACCTGAAACACTTGTGTGTTGCCTAAGGCCCTACCAGAAACAGGCTCTTTACTGGATGTCAGAATTGGAGAAGGGAACTGAGGCAGAGCAAACAACCATAGTTTTGCATCCATGTTGGGCAGCATATCGAATTTGTGATGAGTATGCACTTTTCTTGGGATATAAGATAAGATGTCAAAACATTAAAAGAAAACTACTTTGTACTGGATATTATGAGTTTCACCTAAATTTGTGAAATATTTGCTCTATTAATTTGGGAATTTGCTGACCAAGCTTCTCAACAGGAGGGGTCCTGCAATTTATGTGAACATTTTCTCTAGTGAAAAGAAGATGGGGAGTGAGTTTTCTTTGTTACCTCTTTTCTCTATAGCTATTTTTTTTTTTTTTTGTTGCATACATTAATTTCTCTGCAAAATATGATTTCTGCCATCTTAGCAGATGCTATTGGCCTGGGGAAAACTATAATGACAATTGCTCTACAACTGCAATTATAACAGCTCCTGTATTAAAGGGGCAGGAAGTAGTGGAGGCTCATATATTAGTTGAAAACTTGACCCAACAGCTTACAAGTGAGTTCTTTTGCTTATTTTTCAATGTTATGTAATTTTCCATGCTATATCATTAAAAAAAAAAAAATCCTTTAAGGAGTTTCTGAAAGCATAAATGATAGAAGCAAGAAGCTCAAACAGATCAAAGAGGAAAAAGACGACTTGAAGGTAGGTGTGGTGTATCTTATGAAATTGAGCTCACTAAGTTTTTGACTGTTTTGTGATTGGTCTACAAAATTACTATGAATGTAGGTTATGGAAGACAATTATCAGGATACCCTTCAGGAGGAGGAGAGAGAATTGGAGCAACTCTTAAATAAAAGGAAAACCTATCTTGCAAAACAAAATGAGTATTCGAAGAAGATTCGAGAAAAAGGTTTGTCCCAATCTGTGGATCCTCATTTTTATGCAGCTATGCTATTTGAAATGTCATGCCAGCATTAGATATCCAGCTCACTTTGATTCTTTATTGTGTAGGTATGCCAAGATCAAAAAGGTTCATGGATATGAGAGTCGGCCAAGGTCTCAACAACAATTTTCTATGTCAACACACGAGCAATTGTTGAATGATGCACCACATGAAGATACATTTCCAAATCATGAACAAACTCAGGATAATGATACACCTCAAGAGCAAACTCAGGATGAAACACCACAAGAGCAGTGCTAATGGGTAATTGCTTTGGTTCTTTAGCCCTTCTCTAGTAGTTGGATTTTTTACTTTGCGTAAGAAGGGTCTGTTTTTAATTGATGTTGTATTTTAATCCTACGTCCAATTGGTTCCTTTCAGGTTGAAAGATGGAATGAACAGAGGGAGACTGGGACTTTCCCTGGGCCACTTTAACTTGATGTGGATTTAGACAATGTTCATCATCTTGTTATGAAATTTGGCCTTTTGATTTCCTTTTGAATGTCAATGGATTAATAAGCATTCTTGTACTGGCTTCTTAAAAAGCTTTATTGGTTTGGGAGTTTCTAAAACAATTGGCTTCCAGTATATAAAGATTCTTTGTTTTTGTTATAAATATTAGTTATAATTGATTTTCTTTCCAATTAAATGTGTACATAGAGGTTATTTGTGATTGTAATATGAATTTGAATATAAAGATTTTTGAATAAATATAATTAAATGATAATTTAAAAATATAATAATGTAATTATAAAACATTTAGCGACACTTAATTATAAAATAAAAAAATTATTTAGCAACACTTAATAACCGTTACTAAAATTTTTAAAAATAAATAAAGGAAAAAATTTAGTGACACTTAATAATAGCTATTAAAATTTAAATAAATAAATAAATATATTTAGCGGCGGTTGCGCCGCTAAATGTTTTTTAAAAAACCCTCATTTTAGCGGCGGTTTTGAAACCGCTGCTAAAATCAAATGAAAAGCACCTCATTTTAGCGGCGGTTACAAAACCGCTGCTAAATTCGACCAAAACCGTCGCTAAATGATTTTCCCATTAATTCTCGCGGTTGTTGAAAACCGCCGCTAAATCCTTCGCGACACACCATTTAGTCACGGTTGAAGAACCGCCGCTAAACAGCATGGTGGCGGTTCAAAACCGCCGCTAAACAACAAAATAACCGCCGCTAAATGACGGTTTTGGTGTAGTGGCTATTAAGGAGAACTCAGGTTTGGGAGAACAAGACTATTAGTGAACTTATGGTAAGTCTACATACTTATGAATTACAACTTCTTGCTATGTGCTGGAGGATGGCCCTTGGCTTTTTGAGAATTAGACCCATGTCTGCAAGTAGATAATGCCAAGCGACCAGCCTTCTACTGTGGCCCTGGATCATGTCTGCTTTTGGGGTATGTAAACATGACCTTCCGTTGGTCTATACAACCGAGTAGTTTCTCCAGTAGATTGGCAAATATCTGGGATTGTTTGAAGCCATTGATTCTAGTAGTTATATATGGATGCTTGACAAAGGGCTACGTCCGGGTTCAGGTGAGGCTGGGTATGCGTGTTTCCCTAAAGCGTAGGATGAAGATAAAACATAGGGCTGGGCTTCTCTGTGGATTTCATTTTCTTATGAATACCTCAACACTTTCTGCTTCTATTGTTGTCAACTTGGCCATAAGGTTAAATTTTATGGCAAGGTTTTTGTTGACAGTGCTTCGTCGTATGATTATCCCTATGGCTCGTGGCTAAGGGTGGCCCCACGTTGGTCTAATCAGAATATCGGTGAAAAGTGAATACTTTCATTCTTGTTGTTAAGAACCTTTTGTCTTTGATTTTGATAATCCCAAAAGATAGGAATTTTAGTCCCCTATTTCTTTTCTTTTACGTTCAAGATTTAAGATTATTTCTTCTAAAAGTTTGAATAGTAACTCGAATGGTTACCTTTCGAATAGGTCGATATGAAGACTTGAAGACTGAAGATTCGAAAACTAGAAGAACAAATGGTAAGGTCAACCATTCGTAACCCAAAGGTTACAAAGGTCGAATGATGGAAGGACCTACCTTTCGAAGTAAAGGAAGACTAAATGCTAAGGTAAACTATTCGTATCCGAGAGGTAATAAAGGTTTAAGGTTCGGAACCATATAATAACCTAGTTAACCATTCGAATAGAACTACTCCAAACATTCTCTGAGCCAATAGTTCGAAACCTTAAAGTCTTAGGTGAATGTGTCCAAGGCAAATAGAGTCCCAAGAACAAATCCCAAGGAATATTTTTCCTTAAAAGCCAAGACATTTTGTGCAGAACAAAATGATATGTTCAGCGCAATGGTTGAAAAATCTGGCAACTCACCTACCCTCCCATTTATTTCTTGGACTGAGCTGGTCTTGCACAATTAAAGTTTGAATCAAGCTGGACCAGTTAGAAAATAAAAATTAAAGCCTAACTCAACCTGATGTAGTATATACGAAGGGTATCTATACAATATATGGTCCTATGTCCGTTCTGGGCTCGGATCCTATACCTAGTTTGCTTGATGGTTTAACTAAAATATCTCGACGTGCGTGACAGTGGATCAGAGGTCCCCGAGATAATTGCTAGGGTGTGTAAATAGCTCAAAAGTCCCATCCGATAGTAATAAATGAGGTAGTTATAAGGGTCACGAGGGGGCAGGTCTTGGCTCAGTGGCATGTGCAGCACGTGGAATTCATGCACAGGTCTAGGTTAGGGCCTAAGGGGCCTTTGCCACGTGCCCTGATATTCCTGAGCACACTGTACTATGCCATAGGGCACCAGTAGGTCAGTCTGACCTAAGCAAGTCGATACCACAATGCGGCCTAAAAACGTAACCTCCAGTCTAGCTCGGTAGGCACTGCATGGTTAGGAACGCGCAAGCCTTAGGTCGGGTAAGGCTTAGCCCGCTCAAGGGGGCCGTTACCGACCACCGTGCATGCACGGTATTCAGGGAATAATCCCCATCACAACCCATAACCCTAAACATAAAAAAATTTTAAAAATTAAAAATTATATATATATATATATATATATATATATATATATATATATATTTATTTATTTATTTATATTAAGTTTTCTTTTAAAATTAAATTTACACGTTTATATATTTATTTTCAACTATTTAACTTAAGAATTATTACAAGAAAATAATGATGAAATCGAATATTTAATAATGTAATACCATTAATAAGAATAAGTTTACAAATTGAACCTACAAACTGCTAAGTACTTATTTTTCAATTTGAAACAAATAAAATGTTACAACTTTAAAATATTTTAAGGAAGTAATTAACTAATTATTATGTAATTAGTATGCTAGGTAGACAATCTTCACTTTTTTACAGGATGACCATGTACTTATTTGGTTGTGCCTATGTCTGCATATAGTCTTTTAAGAAATGTACGTGTCAACGGTGTTCATGAGCCAAAATTTAAAGTCCAGCCTTATCCATAACATAAAATGGGCTAGCCCCAATTCGTCCGTTGTAGCAAACAGACTAGGCCGGCTATGCCAGCCCAAATGGGTCGAGCCTGGATTGGACTTTGGGCTAACTCATCCGTTTGACATTTCTAATCTAACATGACTATAGACGTAGATTTTTTTTTTTAAATGTGCGGTAAGTCGGTTAATTCCTGCTAACCAATGAATTAAAAAGATTTATTTATACGCTATATGGTAACAAATTTTTTTCCGTATTACATTATATATCCTAGTTTTATTTGGTCAATTCGCTAATATTAAATGAATATCGAAATTTGTAAATTTTTAATAATTATATTATTTGGAGATATTTTTCTAATTTGGAATAATCTCCACGTTTATTATAGCGTGCGAAAGTAGCCTTTTAAGGAAATGTAATTATATTGAAAACGTATTTGCAACGTCAAATGACACAAACACACATATAAAAAGGGGCAATCCTGAAAATGAATTATTTGTGATCATACGGTAGAGTTGAGTTTATAGAATAAGAAAATGGCTTTTGGTAGAGTTTGCTTTTTCATGCTTCTTGCTGTCATTGGCCTCTCTATTGCGTCTAACATAGGTATCAATATATATGCCCTCTCATCTTTTAAAATTTTCAATAAAAATGCCTTTATTTTTCAACCATATATCCGGTTTTTGACTTGATAGATTTTATTGTTTTTGGTTTCATGATCTGATCTGATCTGTTCGGCGAGATAGTAGTGGCTGATGAGTCTTGCATTGATACGTGCGATGGGGTAATCCTTTGCTCATCAATATGCGTCGCTAGGCATTTCAGCAGCGGTGAATGCAAAAAACAACCAAATGGGGACATCCTTTGCTGCTGCAAGCAATGAGATTCATTTCCATCCATTTTAATGTTTTTTAAAACTATTTTAGAATGAATCTCCTGTCTTGGCATCAAATATACTATTAATCATTTTGGCTCACTAAACCTTTACAGGGCGTTTGGTTGGAGGGATTTCAAATTCCCTTCCCATTTAATTCCCATCTAATTCCAAAGGCCATTAAATTCCGTAGTTTGGTTGGAGGGAATTGCAATTCCATGGAATTGCAATTCCTCCATTTTCATGGAATTAAAATCCCATGACCCCCCTGAGATTTTAATTCCTGGGAAAAAAAGATAGTGATGAGCCAAAATTACCCCTTCATTTTTAACCTAAAATTAATGTCTAACAACAATAATGGACATTTTTGACTTTATACTACTTATTCTCTTTCAATTCTCATGTATACCAAACATTGGAATTGAAATTCCCGGTAATTCTATTCCTGTCAACCAAATACTGGAATTTAAATTCCCACTTTATTCCCCGTAATTCAACTCCCATGGAATTACAATTCCTTTCCCACATAATTCCCCCTCCAACCAAACGCCCTGTTAGGGCAACAGCCGCAGGTAAGTGCTGAGTCTGGGGACGAACAAGAGGAAACAGACGTGGAAGATGATGATGATCCATTATGCCCCACAATCCGTCTCACTAAGGAGGAAGAGGAATTGATCTGCGCACCGTGGAGGAAAGCACTCATCATCAAGGTGATGGGCAGGAAAGTTGGATACGTGTTCCTGCTCTGGCGGTTGATCTCCATGTGGAGGCCGAAGGGAAGTCTAGATCTCATCGCCATCGACAACAATTTTTTCCTTGTCAAATTCGGATCGGTGGATGACTTGGCGTTCGCAATGTTCGAGGGCCCCTGGAAGGTGCTAGATCACTATCTCATTGTGCGCGAATGGGAACCATATTTCGACCCATATCTGGCCACGACAAAGAAAATGCTGGTATGGGTTCGTATACCTTCTCTACCTTTGGAATATTATTATTATGTTTTTCTCAGGAAGCTCGGGAATAAGGTGGGCAGAGTGGTCAGGGTGGATCAAGCAACAAGTCTAGTTTCGAGGGGCATGTTTTCTAGGATTTGCGTGGAGGTGGATTTAACAAAACGCCTGATCTCAAAGTTCAAATACAAAAGCAGAGTGCGCCATGTCGCTTATGAGGGAATACATCTTGTCTGTTTCACATGTGGGATGTATGGTCATTCAACGGACTCTTGCCCCCAGACCTTGGCAGTTGCAGCGAACCCGGAGGACGGGCAGAATGGCGTTCCGGCTATAACGGCACAACCACCACAGAGTGGCCAGCCAACCGATATCGGCTCGGCCCCGTTTGGATCATGGATGATCACGCCTGGACGGAAACGAG